TGAAATCCTTGAACGTGCAGAATATTGACGCCTGTGGCGATCTTCTCAACTTCATTGGAGAGGCCTCGGATCGCGCAAGGAAGGCAATGCATGGCGTCACCCCGCTGTTCGTGCTCAAGATTCGTGACGGCAGCTCGCCACTTCGCATCTACAACGAAGTTGTGGCATTGGCGTGCGATCGACGACTCTGCCACGTCATCATCGAGGTGCCCATTGAATCTCTCACCATCGCGATGACGGCCCTTCCACGCCTCGACTTCCACCTCGTCCCCAACTTCTCCGTCTCGGAGGCCTTCCGCTACACACACCACCTAATCGACCCGCTCGAGCTAACACACTTCGTTGAGGTGGTCGGGACAAACAGCAACGACCTCGATGAACTCCTCGCCGCTGTCCGCCACGCACACATGTCTGCCACTACATACACCAACCAGAAGCTTGTCAAGGCCATGAGGCAGCTACAGGCAGCGTGGGCAAAGGATCCCTCCCTTCGCGAGGCAGTCATAAAGTTGGCACGCTTTCCGTTTGAAGAAGGACAGAGCGAGGGATACGACTACTCCAGCCTACGCAACGAGGCTCTTCGAGACATAGTCATGTACAATGCAGTTGCGGATGTCTGGATGTTCCAACAGAAGGTGTTTCACACAGCGGCTTGCTGTTGGCAGTAGCCAGCCATGTGTGCAGCCCGAAGGTGTCTTGTTGTTTTGTTGGCCCCTGTGCGTGCGGAGGTGACTGTCGCATGGACGTCCCACGGACACTGCTCTCACTGACAGCTTTCTTTCCCCTGCTTTCAACCCTAGCTCTCACGTAGGAAGCAATGAGCAAACTTGGCGCGATTCTCTACGGTGTGGTGGGCTTCCTTGCCTTCCTGTTCGTGCTGGTTGGGACGCCGATAGACCAGTTCCGCGCGAAAGAGAAGGGAGCCACTGGCAACACTCCGTGCATGACGTTGTGGGGAATTAAGGAAGACTGCCACAGCACGAAGTATGAATTCACCGTTGGGGAAGATTTTCGTGAATGCCCCTCAGTCTTGAGGCTGTTCAGGATGGCCGAGGCGTTCTCCATTATTTCCATTTTGTTGCTGCTTGCTGCCACCGCACTTGGCGTGGCGGCACACTTCTGCCTAAAATCTCTCAAGATCTTTGCGACCCTGCTGTTGGTGGTCAGCATTGTGACGGTTGGGCTCGTTTGGATACCCATGGCCTACTTTTACAACCATGACGTGGACAATTGCCTTGGAACACCGCTCAAAACATGTTCGAAATACGGTGGTGGCTTTGTCATCATTGTGATTGGATGGTGCCTGATATTTGTCGCCGTCGTGCTTCTGCGTATGCTATAGCGGGTGCATCCACCGTCTGCATGCGCCGCTGGAGACCAACAAGCGTATTCTGCTCTACTATGCCCCGTGCCATGCAGCTTTGTGGATGACCTCCCTGCAATACTTGATTGGGTTACTTTCCTTGGTTTTATTTTTTTAATTTGTTGTTGTTTTTGTGGCTGCGTCCAATCACCCTGTGTTACCCAGTGCTGTTAGAGGTGGAGCGGGTGCTATAATGACATGCGTGCATCTGCTGCCCCTCTGTGTGTGTGGGCGAACGCTTGTTCCCCGGCCCAGGGAGAAATGAATAGATGATAAGCAGGCAGGAAGAAACGGAAGGAGGAAGAGAATTACGTTGTGTACTCTGACGAGGGTCTCCACGAGGGACCCGCGTCGCCGTCTGTTTGTGATGGGACGTTTTTTATTTTTATTTTCTACAGGTTGAATGCGCGGTGATGGGCGATTTTGTGCGTGTTTGCCCGTCTGCGCGTTTGTGTTTACTGCTCGCTCCCTTCTTCCCGTCGGTCCACAATTTGCCTCTGTTGGCGTCACGCGATGAATTTTGGTTGTGTCCTTCGGTGCTGCCTTTTTTGTTTTTGTGCTAGCGTTTTTTTTTTTTGTTTCTGTGTGAGCGGCACTGCTGAGAGAAGCGTCCTGGCGTATTTCTGTGTCGTGCGTGTCGTGCGCGGTGTGCCGCTTTGCTCACTTTGCTGGCTTGTTTCTGAGTGCTGTGCAGTTTCTGCATCTTCTTTTCCTTTTTTTTGCATTGCCTGTTTTTGTGTGCTGCTCCCCTGCTTCGGAGGGTCTGCCGCTGCCCGCCCTGCGAGCACACAAGGCGCGGGGGCAATAATTGGCGGTCTGGTGGCCAAAGTCAATGGGAATGGTGCCCTTGCGGTGCTTTTGGATAATGACCGCTTTGATCCCGCCGTGCCACGTGAGATGATCACTCTGTCTGAGGGCCGTTCAAAGTTCATCTCGAACGAGAAGTTTCAGGAGGTGCTGGAGTGGGTCAAATCCGCTGGAGTGGACCGTCGCTCCGACCAGGAGAGCACCTCGTGCATCCTTTTTCACCGGGGCTGGAGAGCGGACAAGTTGTACCTGCTGGATGGCGCTGACGTGCACTGTCTCTCACACCTCAACAAGTCTGTGCGCATGAGCGTACTGGAGAAGTCGGAGTGGGAGCGTGACCAGCACCGGCAGAAGCGCGAGCAAATCAAGGAGCGCATGAAAGAGAAGGAGATGCGGTATGTCCTCACCAAGTACAGTGGCGTCTTCAGTGCCTGCGTGGCCGTACTGGGTGTCGTGTCTGTGTTTGGTTGGAATTTTAAAAATTACAAAAAACAGCAGCGCTCCTATCAGTTGGCCATTGCGGCAAGTGCGCTCTCCCAACCGCACAGCAAACGGCCAATAAAAGACTATGTGCACCGCGAAGATGAGGAGCAGCGCCTGCGCCAGACCCTAAGACAGCAGGATCTTTTCCACCCGCGCATTCTCGTCTTTGCTGGGTTTTATGGCTGCGGAAAAAGCATTCTGTTTCGCTCTGCGATTCGCAAGGAAAAGATGGCGGCTGTCTTTGTTGACATTCGTCCAAACGAGGACCCTCTCCGCTCCATCGTGAAATCCTTGAACGTGCAGAATATTGACGCCTGTGGCGATCTTCTCAACTTCATTGGAGAGGCCTCGGATCGCGCAAGGAAGGCAATGCATGGCGTCACCCCGCTGTTCGTGCTCAAGATTCGTGACGGCAGCTCGCCACTTCGCATCTACAACGAAGTTGTGGCATTGGCGTGCGATCGACGACTCTGCCACGTCATCATCGAGGTGCCCATTGAATCTCTCACCATCGCGATGACGGCCCTTCCACGCCTCGACTTCCACCTCGTCCCCAACTTCTCCGTTTCGGAGGCCTTCCGCTACACACACCACCTAATCGACCCGCTCGAGCTAACACACTTCGTTGAGGTGGTCGGGACAAACAGCAACGACCTCGATGAACTCCTCGCCGCTGTCCGCCACGCACACATGTCTGCCACTACATACACCAACCAGAAGCTTGTCAAGGCCATGAGGCAGCTACAGGCAGCGTGGGCAAAGGATCCCTCCCTTCGCGAGGCAGTCATAAATTTGGCACGCTTTCCGTTTGAAGAAGGACAGAGCGAGGGATACGACTACTCCAGCCTACGCAACGAGGCTCTTCGAGACATAGTCATGCACAATGCAGTTGCGGATGTCTGGATGTTCCAACAGAAGGTGTTTCACACAGCGGCTTGCTGTTGGCAGTAGCCAGCCATGTGTGCAACCCGAAGGTGTCTTGTTGTTTTGTTGGCCCCTGTGCGTGCGGAGGTGACTGTCGCATGGACGTCCCACGGACACTGCTCTCACTGACAGCTTTCTTTCCTCTGCTTTCAACCCTAGCTCTCACGTAGGAAGCAATGAGCAAACTTGGCGCGATTCTCTACGGTGCGGTGGGCTTCCTTGCCTTCCTGTTCGTGCTGGTTGGGACGCCGATAGACCAGTTCCGCGCGAAAGAGAAGGGAGCCACTGGCAACACGCCGTGCATGACGTTGTGGGGAATTAAGGAGGACTGCCACAGCACGAAGTATGAATTCACCATTGAGGAAGTTTTTCGTGCTTGCCCCTCAGTCTTGAGGCTGTTCAGGATGGCCGAGGCGTTCTCCATTATTTCCATTTTGTTGCTGCTTGCTGCCACCGCACTTGGCGTGGCGGCACACTTCTGCCTAAAATCCCTCAAGATCTTTGCGACCCTGCTGTTGGTGGTCAGCATTGTGACGGTTGGGCTCGTTTGGATACCCATGGCCTACTTTTACAACCATGACGTGGACAATTGCTTTGGAACACCGCTCAAAACAGGTTTGAAATACGGTGGTGGCTTTGTCATCATTGTGATTGGATGGTGCCTGATATTTGTCGCCGTCGTGCTTCTGCGTATGCTATAGCGGGTGCATCCACCGTCTGCATGCGCCGCTGGAGACCAACAAGCGTATTCTGCTCTACTATGCCCCGTGCCATGCAGCTTTGTGGATGACCTCCCTGCAATACTTGATTGGGTTACTTTCCTTGGTTTTATTTTTTTAATTTGTTGTTGTTTTTGTGGCTGCGTCCAATCACCCTGTGTTACCCAGTGCTGTTAGAGGTGGAGCGGGTGCTATAATGACATGCGTGCATCTGCTGCCCCTCTGTGTGTGTGGGCGAACGCTTGTTCCCCGGCCCAGGGAGAAATGAATAGATGATAAGCAGGCAGGAAGAAACGGAAGGAGGAAGAGAATTACGTTGTGTACTCTGACGAGGGTCTCCACGAGGGACCCGCGTCGCCGTCTGTTTGTGATGGGACGTTTTTTATTTTTATTTTCTACAGGTTGAATGCGCGGTGATGGGTTATTGTGAAAGGAATGTTCGCGAGGTAAACTGGATGTCCGAATTACTATATGTCCTGATAAGATGAGTATTTATTTCTGTAATATATTTCTTTTTACGAGTTTTAAGGCCTCGATGGATCGAGTGAAGGAACCGTTAGCGGCACGGTAAGAATTTTTATTTTTGTTTCTGCCGTACCACTCACCCCCTTTTTTGTTTCCCACCTCGCGGTGGGGTTCGCTGGCTGGAATTCCCCAAAGTGTACCACTTCGCCAGTAAAAATTATCTCCAGTCCGGATAGGGCTCACCATTTCACGGTATTTTTTATCATAGTAATATATATCAGCAAATATAAATATAATTGGAGCAAAGAACGAGGATGTGGCGAACCCACTGCCTCTCCATCACCCCTCCTTTCCCCGTGGTATATTGTTTTATTTAGACAATTTCAGGATATGGTCAGCAGCTCGGGCGATCTCTGGATTTTTTACGCAGATATCGCTGGCACTGTCGCTTTTTTCGAACGCCATCTGCCGTTATCTGAGCACACATCTATTTGGGTTTGTGTATTGCTTTTTCCGGTTGCGCATTGTTTTGCCGGCGCGCGTTTTTTTTTAGGAGCTTGTGAAGAGAATTGCGGGAATGCTGGCTAAATTAATTAATTTTAAATCCTGATAATAAAGAATTCACTTCTTTATAATATTTTTTTCCTGTCTTATGAACGTGGGAAGAACACAACTTTA